GAAAAGACTTGTGGGGATTGCAGCAGCAGGAGAAACTCCCAGCCTCACAGGGGAGTTTGTTGGAGAGACTCACAGGGTCCTAGAATGTACATTAACCCAGCCACCTGGTAATCAGCACCAGAAGGGCGCAATTTGCTTGTGAGTAGCAGAGGATGTGACTAAAACCTGGCCAAGAGCCTGAACAAGTGTCATTGTTCCTTCTCTGACCCCTCCCACACATACAGCATCACAACACAGTGACATGGGTTACTCCACCCTGGTGAATACCCAAGGCTCTGCCCCTTAGTACATAACATGTACACCGAGACCCCTTACTACATAACAGGTGCACTGAGACAAAAAAAATTGACCAAATAAAGGAACAGATTAAAGCTCCAAAAAATAATATAACTAAGCGATGAAGAGATAGCCAACAAATAGGATGCAGTGTTCAAAACACTGGTAATCAGGATGCTCACAGAAATGGTTGAGTATAGTCACAAAATGGAGGAAAAAGTGAAGGCTATGAAAAGTGAAATAAAGGAAAATGTACAGGGAACCAACAGTGATGGGAAGGAAACCAGGATTCAAATCAATGGTTTGGAGCAGAAGGAGGAAAGAAACATTCAACCAGAACAGAACGAAGAAATAAGAATTCAAAAAAAACAAGGAGAGGCTCAGGAACTTTCAGGACAACTTTAAACATTCCGACATCCAAATCATAGGGGTACCAGAAGAGGAGGAAGAACAAGACATTGAAAATTTATTTGCTAACATAATGGAGAACTTCCCTAATCTGGCAAAGGAAATAGACTTTCAGGAAGTTCAGGAAGCTCAGAGAATCCCAAAGAAGTTGGATCCCAGGAAGCACACACCAAGGCACATTATAATTACATTACCCAAGATTAAAGAGAAGGAGATGACTTTAAAAGTAGCAAGAGGAAAGGGGAGAGTTATCTACAAAAGACTTCCCATAAGAATATCAGCTGATTTCTCAAAAGAAACCTTACAGGCAAAAAGGGGGTGGGAAGAAGTATTTGAAGTCATGAAAGGCAAGGACCTTCATCCAAGATTATACAATCCAGCAAAGCTATTATTTATTTATTTATTTATTTATTTTACATACTTTTGAATTTTGTTCGAATACAGTTTTCTGCCCCCCCACTACCCTAGCCATCCCCACTGCCCTCCATTGTTTCTACCCCCACCTTGTTTTTGTCCATGTGTCCTTTATAGTTGTTCCTGTAAACCCTTCACCCTCCCCCCACCATTATCCCTCTGGTTACTGTCAGTTTGTTCTCTATTTCAGTGTCTTTGGTTATATTTTGCTTGTTTCTTTGTTTTGTTGTTTAGGTTCCAGTTAAAGGTGAGATCATATAGTATTTGCCCATCACCACTTGGCTTATTTCACTTAGCATAATGCTCTCCAGTTCCATCCTTGCTGTCACAAAGGATAGGAGCTCCTTCATTCTTTCTGCTGTGTAGAATTCCATTGTGTAAATGTACTATAGTTTTTTGATCCAGTCATTTACTGATGGGTACTTAGACTGCTTCCAGCACTTGGCTATTGTAAATTGTGCTGCTATGAACATTGGGGTGCATACATTCTTTTGAATTGGTGTTTCAGGGTTCTCAGGATATAATCCCAGCAGTGGAATTGCTGGGTCAAAAGGCAGATCCATTTTTAGTTTTCTGACGAAATTCCATACTGTTTTCCACAGTGGCTGCACCAATCTGCAATCCCACCAATGGTGCACTAGGGTTCCCTTTTCTCCACAACTTCTCCAATACTTGTTGCTTTGTTTATGATGGCCATTCTGACTGGTGTGAAGTGGTATCTTATTGTGGTTTTAATTTGCATCTCTCTGATGACTAACAATACTGAGAGTGTCTCTGGACCCTCTGTATGTCCTCCTTGGAGAAGTGTCTGTTCAAGTCCTTTGCCCATTTTTTAATTGGGTTGTTTGTTTTCCTGGAGTGGAGTTGTGTGAGTTCTTTATATATTTTGGAGATCAAACCCTTGTCTGAGGTATCATTGGCAAATATGTTTTCCCATATAGTTGGTTATTTTTTTCATTTTAATGCTGTTTTCTTTAGCCATGCAGAAGCTTTTTAATTTGATGAGGTCCCATTTGTTTATTATCTCCTTTATGTCCCTTGCTTTAGGGGACATATACCAGTGAAGATATTGCTGCATGAAATATTTGAAATTTTCCTGCCTATGTTCTCTTGAAGGACTTTTATGGTATTGTGACTCATATTTAAGTCTTTTATCCACCTCGGATTTATTTTTGTGTATGGTGTAAGTTGGTGATCAAATTTCATTTTTTTTTTTGCATGTAGCTGTCCAGCTCTCCCAACACCATTTGTTGAAGAGGCTATTTTTGCTCCATTTTATGCTGCTGCCCACTTTGTCAAATATTAATTAACCATAGAGTCTTGGGTTTATTGTTGGGCTCTCTATTTTGTTCCAGTGGTCCATGTGTCTGTTCTTATGCCAGTACCAGGCTGTTTTGATTACTGTGGCCTTGTAATATAGTTTGATGTCGGGTATTGTGATCCCCCCTACTTTGTTCTTCTTTCTCAAAATTGCTGCAGCTATTCGGGGTTGTTCATGGTTCCATATAAATTTTTGAAGTGTTCTATATCTGTGAAATATGCCGTTGGTACTTTAATAGGTATTGCATTGAATCTACAAATTGCTTTGGGTAGTATGGCCATTTTGATGATGTTAATTCTTCTAATCCATGAACATGGTATATGTTTCCATTTGTTTGTGTCTTCCTTAATTTTTTTCTTCAATGTTGTGTAGTTTTCTGAGTATAGGTCTTTTACCTCCTTGGTTAGGTTTATTCCCATCTATTTTATTTTTCTTGTTGCTATATCAAATAGGATATTTTTCCTGATTTCTGTTTCTGATATTTCATTGTTGGTATATAAAAATGCCTTTGATTTTTGAATATTGACTTTGTATCCTGCTTGTTTCCCAAATTCACTTATTAGGTCGAGCAGCTTTTTGGTGGAGTTTATAGGATTTTCTATGTACACTATCATGTCATCTACAAACAATGACAGTTTTGCTTCTTCTTTTCTAATTTGGATGCCTTTGATTTCCTTTTCTTGCCTGATTGCTGTGGCTAGGAGTTGCGATACTATGTTGAATAGAAGTGGTGAAAGTGGACAACCTTGTCTTGTCCTGATCTTAGTGGGAAAGTTTTTATTTTTGCCCATTGATTATGATGTTGGCTGTAGGTCTCTTGTATATGGCCTTTATTAGGTTGAGGAATGCTCCCTCTACTCCCACTTCAGCAAAGCTATCATTCAGAATGGGAGGCCAGATAAAATGCTTCCCAGGTAAACTCAAGTTAAAGGACTTCATCATCACCAAGCCCTTATTATATGAAATGTGAGAGGGACTTATCTAAGAAAAAGAAGATAAAAAATAAACTCACAACTATCAACTGAACCTAAAAAAACAAAACAAAACAAAAAAAACAAACAAAACAGAACCAAAAACAAACTAAACAACTAGAACAGGAACAAATTCACAGAAATAGAGATCACATGGAGGGTTATCAGCAGGGAAAGGGAGGGGGGAGTGGTGGGAAAGGTGCAGGGAATAAACAGAATAAATGGTAGGTAGAAAATAGATAGTGGGAGATTAAGAATAGTATGGAAAATGAAGAAACCAAAGAACTTGTGTGTATGAACCACAGACATTAACGAAGGTATAAGAATGATAGTGGGAAAGGGTGTGTGGGGCAGAGGGGAATAAAGGGGAGAAAAAATGGGACAACTCTAATAATGCTATCAGTAAAATATATTTTTAAAAAGTTTTGCCATTTAGTGGTGAGCTGTTGACAGTAAATTATTAAGCTACTTATTTAAAATATATCTGCTCTTTTAACATGCACATCTATCCTGATAGAAAACCAAATGATAAGAATGCCTAATGAAGAAGGAAAATCCTATGATTGGTTAACTTGATTTTTGTGCTCCTCCTTTTTAATTGCTAAAATAATATGCCAACAAAAGATATTTTACTAAGTGTTCTTTAGGAAAAAAATTACTTTCCAAATATTCACACCTACTCTAAAGATGTAAAGTTACCAGATTACTTAACACTAATAGTCTTTGCTTTACCCTTGATGTTCAGGTATTTTTAAAAACCCAAAGTTAGCCTGGTAAAGTCCCATTTTATTTTTATTGCTCTTACTTTTTAATAGCAGCCAATCTTGGAGAACAAAGGTCACATAGAACAAAATGAGTCACCACCCAAACTATGAGAATGCTAGTATGAATAATTATTGTACATAAATTAGACAATACTATTTCAAATATAGCCCATCTCCTCAATTTCTGCAATGTTTACTACAAAATTGAACAATTTTGGTTAATATGCTTGTAAAAATTGGTTTTGTTTGTCCTCCAATATTTTGTACTAATAAGAATTTCCCTTTAAAACATAGCTGGTTCTGCCTCATCAACCTCAGACTTTCATTTTAGAGTGAATCTTCTAATTATAAACTACCCAGTGACAGTCTAGACAAAAATGGCATTCTGGCTAATAGTCACCACAAAACAATATGAATGCCTGGGTTTATACCAATGTACATCCCTTTCTAAAAAGGGGGGGAACATGTAGTAGTTAGTTATGGCATCATTGCAGCAAGTAAAACATTTGACACAGTCTTACTATTTCAGTATGCAGAGACAAATGTAGGTGCTAACTATTCAGAGAGGAATGTATCATCTGTTAAAGATGGTCAGATAGTTTTATGAGAATTAATTTTCAGACACAATCAGATGTTGAAAAGTTCTGATGATAGGCGACACCAATTGGCACTTTCTCAAACATTCTGCTAAAAGAAAAGAAGGAAGTTTGATAACATCAAGATCAGCTTCCCTTTTATAAAGTTTTATTAAATCATAACTTCTTTTCTATAGGAATAAAAGCAGCATGATCCCACTTGAAAGTGGGACAAATACATACCAAATAGAACCAAAAAGGATTTTGGTGAGTCCATTTCATGAGGTTCTTCTACTGGACTGCAGGGATGTTATGTGGATTTGTTCGGGAATTATTGAAAAAGCAACAGGAAAAATAATGTACTTTTTTTGGTATTTGGTCTGTGAATTAAGGAAAAGGTGATGTGTTAAAATATTAAAAAATGTTATTAACTGTACTCTACTCATGGGAGAAACAAACTATAGCTAGCTTATATTTGTTTATTTCCCCTTTGTTTCACAAAAAGATTTGCAGCAGCAATAAGATTTGTAAGTAAGGGCATAAGTTACTGACAAAAGAGTCTCTGCAGTGCTTGGGAATCCATGAAAGGGGGATTTTCCATGCCTTTTCTTTTTGTTGGTATGTAGTTCTAGAACAGTAATTTTTTAAATGGTGTAAAGCAAAAACTGGCCTTTGGCTGTCAGAGAGAATGCTTCAAGGGTAGATCAGCAAGGAGTATAGATCAGTGCCTTCTGCAAGCTATATGGCCATTATGAAAGTTCTTCTTCCATCATTCATTCCCTCCACCAGCACGATCTGATTCATCCTTCCTGTGGGTGCTGGACCCAGGTGGGTAAGAACAGCACACAAAGCATAGAGTGGAGGGAATCTCTGTTTTCAGCATTGCACACATTTGTGCAGAAATGAATTAGAAATATAAGTGACTAATGCCACAGAAATTTCATCAATGCACTTAAGGAGTGAATTTTAAGCAGCAAATACAAATAAGTAATCAATTCACTTCTGCCTGGGAATTCACTTCTCCGTCTGAGAGATGAGAGGATGGACTGTTAATGATGTATATGACTAGAATAAAGAAAAGAAAAGGACCTAGGTATGGCAAGGACAAAGAAATTTTTCTTAGGCATAGCAGGTTACAGATTTCACTGAGTAATGTAAAGGATGATTTAAAAGCACAGCCAAAACTGAACTACACAAAGAACATTTGTTCCTAACATACAATATACTATTTTTGATGTTTATATATCCATTTGTAATTAATCTATTTAGTAAATTATGTACCATTCATTTTATTATTCCTTCACTGCTGTTTTAAGGTCCACAGTTAAAGAACTGTTTCTGCAATTGTGAAAGAGGGATATCTAAATTGGGTAGTATTCTGAAGGAGAGGCTACACACCCTAGTGTAGTTATCATCACTAGACCACTCAGCCTTTTAACTGTTAAAGGTTTACTTTTAGTTCATAAGAAATCTCTTGAGGGTGTAATTACTCTCCACATCAGCTCCCAAGGATGTGGGGATGCTTCCTTCTTACTGTTACACCATGTAGAAAATGAGGTTTCCAGGGCTACAGGAGCAGGAAGAAAAAGTGCTCCTAAGAACCTTGACTGGAAGTGACCAACTTCATTTCATCTCACACCTACTTGTTAGTACTAGTTACATGGCCCCAACCTAACCATACAAGAGGAAAATGTAAGAGGACCACATAATGTTTTATAAATACCATTGATCCTGCCACATCTAATTATTAAAAGTAAGATCTGTGCTAAGAATGGGCTAGACAAGGTAAGTACTATTTCTTCTAGAAGTCTTCCTCAAACATTAGTGATTATAAAACCATGGGGGAGCTTGTTGAAAGGACAGATTCCCAGGCACATGTGTCAAGTTCAGCTTAGCAGGGTTGAGGTAGAAGTAGTGCCCTAATCAGGCTTATTGTACTGCAGTATTGATATGTGTATTACATGGGGAACATGGGAAGAAGATTTTACAGTTAATGTAAAAGTTGTCTTTAGGGGACTGGAATGTAAATAAAACGAAATGAGTAAGTGAAAAATTCAAGAACAAATCATATGAAAAAGTCAGTGTCTTTTCAAGTTACTGCTTCTAATCCACAAGGGAGTTCATTCTGTCCTATAGTTCTGGGAAGTTGGACAAACGTCCCAACAGCCCCTGGTAGGTTGGGACACTGTACCTTAGGAATGCAGTACTGCTGAAACCTCTCTATGGAGAATCATGTTAAATCAGGGCTTTTGTCAGACTACTTACTTTCTCCTCAAGTTTCTTCTTGTGCCTATTCGTCTTGTACTTGACTTGGAGCAATAAAGGAAAACATCATGTTTGCTTCTCCTCTGAGCTCTAAAATACGGTCTTTCCATTATTTCTCTTCCTCTCAGATTGTTACTGAGTCTTCATGTTTATCAGCTGTTATTCTTTGGAGAGAACATTAGAAGGAAAAAAAACAGATGATAACATGGCTAATTTTAAGTGTAGGCATGCACAAAAATGTCTTAAAAATCAGGTTGTGGTATGCATTCTTATTTTACATTTGTCCCTGTTAACATCTCAATAAACAGGTGCCTATGCTTTGCCAGGCTGTCACTGTTGTTTATGCAGTCTATGTGCTTCAAAATCTGATGGATGATACTCAAGCAGCTTGATGCTTCACTTTCTGAAATCAGAGCCTTGAAGTTTTAATGAGACTTCCTTAAAGTACAGTACAATTGGTTTGTTAGAATAGGGGCATATCTCTCAAAGATACCATAAAAGTATCACATTCATATGTTAATTTTAGTTCAACAAATAGGAAAAATGATTATGAGCAATAGCTCTCAGCTTTTGGATAGTTCTTTCCATGTTCAAAGTGCTTGACAAACATTAATTAAATCATTGGCAGTCAAATTAGACAAATATGTTCTCTGTATGTGCATAGCTATACCTTCCATACACATAGCTTTCTAAATCACATCACTGCAGATGAAATATTTTTTGCTATCTGAACTTGGTAGGCTGACACTGATTGCAAGCAACAGATAATTACTGGAAGGGCTAATCACGAGGAGAGATTATGTAAGCTTTCTTTGTTTTTAAACAAAAACATGAATTTATCCTTGATAAAAGCTACAAGACAAACCACAATATAAAATGTTTCTGTCTCTAGGTTAGAAGGTAACAATGATAAAGCAATTTCTGTCATATTACAGGGTTGGAACAGCTAAACCCTAACTTAAAGAGATCATTTTATCTACAGAGAGTACATTTTATGCTTCCTGGCCTACTGATGTTTTTGGCCTCTTTAGCGCCCCAAACAAGTAGGCTGGCTCTTCAGGCTAAATACAGTATTGATTTCAGGAATCTTGAATTGATTGCTAGGAATCCTTGGTCACTACTCACTTGAGAAGCATTTGGGCCGGCAAATTAAACATAGTAAATTTCATGATTATTTTTAGAATAATTTACACTTCTTTTTCCTCCACTGAATTTAATGAAGCTTTCCAAACTATCCCTAGAGATTAACTCCTCCCAATGGTCCCCAAATGAAGTCAATTTCAAATAAAAAAGAGTGCTAATAGCATTCCAGTTTTCAGTAACACCTAACAAATTAAAACACTTTGCCCACCTACATCAGATGATTGGGAGAAGACATGCACATGCATGCGTGGACACAACTTAGCCAGAGTTAGGCTTGATTTCTTTGAGCTGTGCAAGCTGCACAGTTACAAATGGGGAGCAGGGAGGGATTCGAGTTTCTCACTGCCAAACTAGTCTAGTCTGTTTCTAGGTAAAGGAAAGTACTTGTTAATTGTCTTGCAATCTGTTGAACAAAAGAACATCTAGTTCAACCAAGTTGTCTTTTTGGAAAGACTTTGCAAAAGTACCATTTGGAGTCATAGTTCTTCATGGGGATCTCTGAGACATATTTGTTTCCCTTTTATAGAAATGCTAATCTGTATGCCTGTAAATCTAAAATTTGAGGTTCCTCTTCCTTACTAATGCTAGAATTCAGTAAGATTGTATGATATGCTCAGAGTAATACACACAGACCACATGGCTCAGCCCTGACAGGTGGCAGTAATAGAATGAGAAGTAATATAGTACTACCTTAGCATTTCTACTGTTAGACTCTTGTCATATTCCAGGAGTGGAATGAACTTCCTCTGATTGCATTTAGAGCAGGGAGTCATTGACATGACTGATTTTTGGCCCAGAACAACATATAGGTCTTTATGGTATAAGTTTGTTTTCCCTTCTGTATGAAGACACACATTTAGACCTGACTGGGAACGTTTAAAGGGCTTTAAGAATTTAATAGTACCCCAAATATAAATGGCCTTCAAAGGTAAATAAAATATACATATGCTTTGTACATTTTTAGTTGTACTGATACAAAGTCCACTGCCTCCATTTCCACTCTACCTTATGGAAATTCTTGTCTTGGAGGACATACATGACATTTTCTTACGAACTATACTAGCTTTTACTTACTGCTTATTCTACTTGACCTTTTTGCTGCATTTGATACTGTGGACTCTCCCCAACCAATACCACCTACCACCCCTCATAAATACCCAATACTTGATCTCCTTGACATTTTTGTCTTCCTTGCTAGCCTTTCCACTAACCTTGTCTAGCTCACATCATCTCCTGCCCAGATGATCACACAGGCCCAGATCCCAACCTCTCCCTCCTCTAATCTAGAACGTTGGAGACTACTCTTTCAGATATCTATACCTTTAACCTGACCCTAAAATCCCTTCTTATTTACAAGGACTTACCTCTCTTATTTCTTATCCTTTGCTCTCCTTCTTGTTCTTTACACTCCAGGAGGACTTGTCTTTTTCAGTCTCTGACACACTAAGTTTGACCTCTCCTTAGGACTGTGTACTAGTTTACTCTCTGCCAGAACCCCTCTTCTCCAGATCTCATGAATGGGTGTTTCTTTCATTCAAGTCATTGTTTAAATGTTCCTCAGAAAGGTATAACTTACTCACCAGATAATCACTTTGAAACCCTCACATTTTGTTTTCTTCAGAGCAATTATTACTATTTGGCAGTTGTATATTTATTTGTTCCTGTCTCTCCCAAATGGAACATATGTGCTGTGAAGAACAGGAGCTTCTTATTTTACTCCTTCACCTCCAGAACCTAGAACAGTGATTAAAGATTAATGAAAAACACTATAGATTATATTATTTCCATTCCATTCAACCCTATTCCTCATTACATCTGTATAATCAAACTTTACAGGTTGTTCTATGGAATTTATTCTTCCTGGTGTCAGGTACATTCACCATTTTTCTCCAACTGGATTATAAACTTCTCGAAGGCAGAGGTCCTTTTCACACTTTTCCAGCCCTTCAGGCCTAGGAGAGTGCTGAAGAGCATTTGGGTGCTGAAGAGCATTTGGTATTATTTAACAAACATTTACTGGTTTATTTCCAACTGTAACATTATATACTGCACACAGAACACTTTTACGTCAGTAGGGTTGTAAAGGAAATAAAAATAGGTCGACCATGAAACATCAGCACGAAGGCCCATGACAGAGTGAGGGCTTTCTTTCTTACCTTCTAATTCAACTTAAGTAGCAAAGTACAGTTTTCTGGAATGAGGATATGAGGAATAGGAGGGTATACCGTGGGGAAATTTCTTGCTTCCTTCTCCAGCAATTGATAGGCTGTACATTTTCAGTGCTGATCATCTTCCAAGGCTAAGGTACTCAGGTCTATGGATACTTTTACTGAATTTTGCTACAATCCTAAAATCATTCCAGACTTCCTACTCTTCTTTGATCTCTATATATACTCACTGAAGTCATTTTTTTCCTCACTGGCATTTATATCTAACATTTCTTTTAGATTCTGACTTACTACTTCAGAACTGAACCATGTTATGTTCTCCTGTCTTGTCTTCATCCCCTTTCACCTGCCAAATGCAACTGGAATGATCTGTTAAGTTGAAATGTTTCAGGATAAAATTCAAGCCCTGTGTCAATGGTTATACCTTTTCGCTTTAAGTTTAGTTTTCTATTGTTTCTAAAATAAATGTTGTTTTACTCTGGCCTGGTGGCTTGGTTGGTTGGAGCATCATCCCATACACCAAATGACTGCAAGTTTGATTTACAGTCAGGGCACATACCTAGGTTGAGGCGGGTTCAATCTTCAGTCAGGGTGTGTACAGGAGGCAACCAATCGATGTTTCTCTCTCTCTCCCTTCCTCTCTCTCTAAACTTAATAAAAACATATCCTTGAGTGAGAATTAAAAAAAATAAAAACCTCATTTTAATTCATATGCTCTCTTTCCCATTCTTAGCTTACTTATCTTCTTCTGAGTACCTTTGTTCAAGCAATTTCCTTTAACTTTTTCCTATTAACCAATCCAAATTCAACACTTTTTTGGGGTCCATTTTAAGAAGTCTTCCCTTAACTTACATGGATAATGTCCAGTTTAAGATTTGGATTTTAGCATTGATTCCTTGGTTATTAATGGTGAATTATTTATCATTTTGTTACATATTTTCCTCCCCAGTAAGATTCCTGACAATAGGGACTTTGTAATTCTCAAAATCATACACAGTTCTTGGCACCTCCTAGGATAAAGGTGTTGGATTGGGGCGTAGCTCCAGAGGCCTGCCCAAAATTGCCTGGATTATGAAGATGAACCCTGACCAGGTTAGATGGAACTTGTGTAACATGAATCCTTGAAACCAGTGGGACAAAATGGCCTCTGACAGTGAAACCTTCCTAGTTAATGCCAAGTTCAATTTCATAAGTCACTCAGTCCATGTAGGCAAAACTGCAAAGTCAAAGACCTCTGATGTTGAATAACTGTATGTAGCTGGTAAGTATAAACCAGATGTTGGCAGGTATGTGAGATGAGATCTGAGCTTCAATCCTGGCTCTGTTTCCAATTAGTCTGGGTAATATTGAACAAGCAATTTACCCTCTTTTGGCATTAGTTCTTCATCTGTAAAATGAAAAGATTAGACCCAGTTGATATTAAGGACTAGATAATTCAATTATAAAATTACATGATCCTAATTCCATATCAATGAAATGGGTGCCATAGTCTTCGAGTTTTTCATATACTTGTTCTGTGGGTGAGATTCACTATTTTGGTGGGTATTTAGAAACCCTTTCTTTCAGCTTTTGGTATTTACACTTTTCTTTTTCCCAATTTGTATTAAAGTGGATGGACAGATGGTTTATTAGGTTTTCAAATGCTTGTAATGCTGTTGTTCAGTTTACAATGGTTTTAAACCTTGAAGGTCCACACAGAGCCTGGATTTTGTTTAGAGTGGTAGTTTTAACTCTTCAATTTAAGGATAATAATGTCTACTCACATAATTTAAAGCAACTTGTGAATGTAACTCCAAAGGCCTAACCGGTTTTCTTCATTTGGGTATGTTAACTCATGTCCACACCTCGATACCACAGCCAAACTCTTCCAAGTTGAAGTTTTAAAAATTAACTTACCAGACTTCCAGTTACAACACATTTGCATGTTTGCCTTCTCCAGACTCATTAATCCACAACCTCATTCCAAATACAAACTCCTCTAATTCAGAATCACAGAAGAGACAAATTCCTCACTTTGTATACAAGAAAACAAGAGACCTAAACAAGAGACCAGGTCCTGGTGCTCTTTCTACTGACTGAACTTTGTAAATAAGAGCTAAAGTGAGATTACGTTGCAGGGAAAAAAAAAACATCCAAAATTTATGAAATCTAAGCCCCGATAGAAACATCAATTCCTTAAAATTTAAGTGCCAATTAAGAGAATGCAATATGAAACTATGTAAGTCAAAGATGGTCACCATTGCTATGGCTTTGCTTTGTCATTTTTAATTACTTAGTGTGACTCTTCATCTAGATGGGACCACGAACATGTAATTCTCAAACACCCGAACTGGATCTTAAATGTATGTTTGTAGTCAGAACGAAAGGACACGCAAAATGTAGGTAAAGGAAGAAATGAGCCCGTTAAGGGGATTCCAAGAGGGGGCCACAGGGAGGCAAGTTAGGACGCGTAGGCGAAGCAGGCGAAGAGGAGGTGCGAGCTCCACAGCAGGTATAGGTTGGGGGGAAGGAGCCGGGGACATGAAGGCACCCTGAGGCTCCAGCAGGCCAGGAAGAGGAACCGGGATGCGGAGAGAAGGAACCGACAGGAAAACTGCAAGAGGAAGCCGAGGCTGACCTTGTGTGCAGCAAAGAACTTCCAGAAGGAAAGAGAAGGCGCCAATACGAGCTTACAACAGGCCTAAGGGGTTGGGGAACGTACAAGAGCTGAAGGGGCAGACGGGGGCAGGGTGCTGACAAGAGATGGGCAAAGGCGTGCGGGGAGGGGGGGCGAAGCTGGACCTTCTGCGTGGGCAGGTGAGGAGAGGAGCGCTGGCCTTGAACCAAAAAGGCGCACCTTGCGCGGGCGGAGCGAAGGCTGAGTCAGGGGCAAACCGCCCGCGCGTCCGGCCAAGCAGGGGGCGGTGCTTGGGTACGTGGGCGGATCTAGGGGCGGGGTCTGCGCCTGACGTGCCCCGAGGCCTCTGCGGCCGCGGGCCGGGAGGGGCGACGGCCGCGGCCGCGGGGGAGGGGCACGGCGTCAGTGCGTTGCCGGCCGGGCTGTGCCGGTGGCCAGCAGGGTGAGTCGAGGAGGAGGTGGAGGAGGAGGAGGAGGTGGAGGAGGAGGTGAGTGGGCTCCGGGCTGGGGAGCCGCGCAAGCCGGCTGGGGAGGCGGGGAGTGCGGCCCCTCCCCTCTCCGGCGCCCGCCTCGCGGGGCCGCGCAGCCGGTCTTCCCAGAGGGACTGAGGCCGTGGTAGTGGCTTGGGGAGCCCCTGGGTAGGCGGGGCGGAGCTGAGGGCCGCGGGCGGCGCGCTTCCCGGGAGCACGCGCCGCGCTTCCCTTGCCGCCGTTGCTTCCGCGCTCGGAGCGCGGCACACGGTGCAGACGTCCTGCAAGCTGGCCATTTTCTGATTTCGTTTTCTTGAGTTAAGCGTGGCGTCCCGAGGTCCCACGCATCTTCGCTCGTGCACCAACGGCAGGGGCGGGTGGGGCGCGTCACCTTAGCGCGGGGCGGGGGGGGGGGAGGGAAGCCGGTTCCCGGGTTTTCCTGAGTAGGCGGAGGGGCCTTCTCGACAACCACGACCGGGGCCAAAGGTCCTTCGCGACGCGATCCCCCCAGGTCTTCCTGAAGGGGCCTTTGCTCCTGGCCCTATTATCGCCCTTCCTTTTCTCACCTCACTAGCTCCTTCCTCCCCCTTGTCAGCAGAGACTGAAAACCTCGCTTTGCTCTCCCAGAACCCCAACTTGGAGGAACCAGCATGTACTTAACTTTGATCAGGATGCAGTCTGTTCGGCTGGGAAGGCTGTCTAAATTTGTCATGCAAATCCAGCCCTGAACCCAAATCGTATCGTCATTTAACTTTTAGTCCAGAGGGCTTTTTTTTTTTTTCTTAAATCAACAAAATACAACTTCTAGAGGCTTCTGAGAACTGTACTGCATTAGATTACCTTTGAGATAATTCTTAAATTAGTGCCTTGAGGAGGTTCAAAGAGGAGGCTTGACACTTTTTCCTCCACCTGTATCACAGTTTGAAATGGAAAACATGAGTTGGTGATTTTCCACACGAGGTGGGTTTCAGAATGCAGCCTCCGTGCGCCCTAGCCTTGTCTTGGTTATTTGGTGTTACTTCTTAAGTGGATTTTAAAGCGCAACACAGCGGGCAGGTAAAGGAGCTGGTGAAAAGAAGTCCAGTATAACTCAATAGAGCCATTTTATTGGATTCTATTAACCTGTTTAACCTTAAGCTAAAGCCTGGCAGGAGTTTCTTGTAGGAACCCACATACCAAGTGCAGTATTGAATTTTAATGAGTGCCTTCCAGGTCTGAAGTAGAATACATTTTCCTCAGCTCCCACTCCCTGTTGTTTTCATATTTGCCTTCGTGTTTTATATTTAAGGAAGCAGTTTTAGAATTGAAGGTTGGAAGAATACCTTTTGATTCATAAAACTTATTTGCCAAACCTGAAAACTGAATTGGTAAAATCTGAACCATGGTAGAGAAATAAGGTAGGAAATTGAATTGTATTGCCTTACCAATTTTTGGATGGCTTCTTTACTCCCGTTTTGACGTTTTAATCTTATGGACCAGAGAAGTACAAAATTTTATGTTTGTAAGGAACTTTGGCAGTTTAATCCAACCCCATTATTTTACAGAGAATTAATCAGAGAAACTTTTGTGAAGAGCTTTAACAGGAGCTGAATAGAACTAGTAGACTTAATTAACTAGATACTTAAGTAGATAATTCACACCTCCCCAATGGATATTCTTGTACAAAAATTTGTTTTGATTATGGTATCTTATAAAAAGCCAAGTAATTACTAAATTTTCATTTTTTTCCCATTTTGAGTAATTGCTTTAATTTGTAATTTGGACCCATTAGAAGCAAATGATACAAATTAATTATAGTTAAGAAATGTTTACATTCTATCAATTCAAATAGTACTTTCCAGTTAGCTTGAATTTGGTAATTATTTTTATTTCAAGAATGTTTACTCATATTCTTGATTCTGATAATTTGTGCCAGTCCTAGGGGATGGGCATTTCAAGAGTGTTGTGGTATCCATACTCTTGATGTTAATTAGGAATAAAGGTCCTGTATACATGTGGTAATCAAATTCCAGCAGCCCCAGCATAGTGGGTCACTTAGTGGTCCTCAAATGCAGAAGTTCTGATGCCCTTGCTTGGGTGGGGTGAATTCTTTGCCTCTCCCATACCACATTGTTTAGTGTAGGCATTTAGTAAATACTTGTTGGCTTGTGTGCAGTTTTCCTGGTGGTGGCTTCATGAAAGATGGACCTTGTCTCAACTTGTTGCGTGGGTCACTGGCCAGCAGTGATCATGGAACGCTGCGAATGGCTCGACGATAAACACGCGAGAAAAAACATGCACAGAGACAAACTAGTTTCTGTGGAGAAGTAGGGACGAAATGGCCACCCCTTCTAGTGAGGAGCGCGCCGATTTACAGTCCATACCTGCTTTTATTGGGGTCATTCTGCATAATAATTCAGGTCAAGTACAGTACTCATTGGGGGGAAGTAAGGAACCATAGAAAACAAAGAACTCTACCGGCCTATTGAGTCGGGGTCAAAGAGCTGTAAGACTGAGAAACAAAATAACTTCCTCCTAAGACCCTTCTCATTCAAC